CAAACAAAAAAAAAAACTCAAGGGGGCATGAGAAAAATAAACTTATGAAGTTTTTTTTTTTTTTCAGAACCCAGTACCTAATGTTTCATTTAATTTTGCTTGACATCTTGTTTTATGCATGTTTAGATATTTTAACTAGAAAACAAAATCGATCAGAAAAATTGAAAAACAGTAACTTTTGTCTGCTGGAAAAACAAAACATTTAGTTTCAACGTGTTAGTTTTGTAGCTGCGGGGCGTTGAGGACGTGTGAAACTCTAGTCTCTATCTGCAGTGTTGTCCATTGGACAGGACGAGTTTGCATTTGTCTCTTTCTCTCCAAATCCTGGATTGATGCATGCCATCTTAATCTCCTTACAGAGAAGCAATCATGACCAGGAGGCAACAGCGAAAAAAAGAGACGTAATGTTCATGAGTGTCTCTCCCATAGGTCTCATAGTGTGTTTTGTTTCAGTACAGAACGGGCCAGATCTGTACCTTTTTTATACATTGCCTTAACTGGCACAATGTTTTGTTGATATAAAAATACAGGTTGACATTGTCACTGTCCACCACTGAACGTGTCTGTGATATGCAGTGTATTTTTATGGGATGTGTATTTATGGGAGTGTATTTAAACAATCCTTGTTATCAGTGTTCATTGTGTTATGTTATCTGATATTTAAAGTGGAGATGTGCCACTCCTACTATTACAGAATTATAAAATTAATAAGAAATAGTTCAGTCGACTATATTGCATGTTTATCTATCTGTTTCAAGATGATAGCCTTATTTACTAACAAATTACAAGTATAAATTGTAAAAAATCTATACAGTCATTACTTTATAGTGTACAAACAGTAACATTTGGCATAGCCTAGAATACAGAGCAGTTGAATACCTGGGCGACCTTGTGTCTGTGATATGCAGTGTATTTTTATGGGAAAACACTAAAAGCATCTCTAAAAACGGATCATTGTGATAAACAATCCTTGTTATCAGTGTTCATTGTGTTATGTTATCTGATATTTAAAGTGGAGATGTGAAATTCTAATTTTATAAAATAAAAATAATTCAAAATGAATCAGAGTTCATCTTAAATCAAGTTTCTTTTTCCTACCGTAGTTGGCATTTTCAAAGTTCATGTTAAATTAAATTTATTTTTCATACCACAATTGGCAAAACAACAACAAAAAACAATCAAACAAAAGGGGGGCATGAGAACAATAAACTTTAAAAAATTATGTCTAATTTAATTTGGCTTGTCATCTGGTTTAGATATTTTTACTAGAAAACTACAGATTCGAAAAAATGTAAAAGCAGTAACTTTTGTCCGCCGGGAAAAACAAAAAATGTAGTTTCAAATTTAGTTTTGTAGCTGCAGGTCGTTGAGGACGTGTGAAACTCTAGTCTCTATCTGCAGTGTTGTCCATTGGACAGGACAAGTTTGCATTTGTCTCTTTCTCTCCAAATCCTGGATTGATGCATGCCATCTTAATCTCCTTACAGAGAAGCAATCATGACCAGGAGGCAACAGCGAAAAAAAGAGACGTAATGTTCATGAGTGTCTCTCCCATAGGTCTCATAGTGTGTTTTGTTTCAGTACAGAACGGGCCAGATCTGTACCTTTTTTATACATGCGGTAGCAGGAGTCACACAGGTTGCAGTAGGTGGATGTTGGAGTACAGCCCAGAACTCAAACCATTATAGCATTGGACTAAAAAATCCACTAGTGTGATATTGTGACGTACTTGTGTCTATTAATCACAATCTTTTAACTGTCCTAATACATTTTTTTAGAAGAGTACACAATACATTGGGTTGTTTTTTTATGAAAAATCAAATAATTTTTATTTAACATAATTAATACAGTATGTTGTAGTTGGGAAATGGGAAATCTAGATTTTAAGTCATACACCTCATGTGAAATTTACTGCATAGCCAGCACATTTCCTTTTCTTGAGGTTTCCATAGCAACGTCTGTTCTCGCCTCGATCCCTTACAGCTTTTAATGCAGACACACACGCACCGTTCTCTATTGTATTGATAACAACTGATAAAATCTTTTTTTCCTCGCTTGTATTTCATAATGTCATCAATCTGAAATACCCTTAT